TTCATTTGCCAAGCTAAATACTGCAAGGAGCTCCTAAAACGGTTTGAAATGGACAACGCCAAAGCCATGGCGACCCTGATGAGCACGTCTGACCATCTTGACAAAGACGAGAAAGGTAAGGAAGTAGAGGTCAAAAAGTATCGAGGTATGATCGGATCCCTTCTTTATCTTACCGCTAGTAGGCCGGGTATCATGTTTAGCGTTTGCCTTTGCGCAAGGTATCAATCGTGTCCGAAGGAGTCGCACTTAACGGCGGTAAAACGGATTATGAAATACCTTGTCGGCATGGTTAACGTTGGACTGTGGTATCCAAAAGGCTCTTCTTGTCATCTCGTTGGTTATTCCGACTCAGACTTTGTCGGTTGCAAATTAGACCGTAAAAGTACGAGTGGGACTTGCCACTTACTTGTTAGCTCCCTAGTCTCATGGTTTAGTAAGAAACAAGTCAGTGTTGCGTTATCCACAACCGAAGCGGAATATGTAGCCGCCGGTAGTTGTTGTGCTCAAATCCTTTGGATGAAACAACAACTCGTGGACTATGGCCTTAGTATCAATCACGTCCCTCTTCGTTGTGATAATACTAGCGCCATAAGCTTGACGAAGAACCCCGTTCTTCACTCAAGGACGAAACACATTGACATTAGGCATCATTTCATTAGAGATCATGTTCTCAAAGGTGATGTCGAAATTGAGTTTGTTGAAACACACAACCAATTAGCCGACATTTTCACAAAACCTTTAGAGAAAGAGTCGTTCTTCCGCATTCGAAGTGAACTCGGAATCCTTGACTCCACGATGATCTAAGTTGTGCATGTAAATGTTTTTTAAAACATTTACTAACTTGAGCGTCAGAGAATTTTTTCTTTTTTTTGCAGGTACCCCGTTCATGAAATCAGGGGGAACCATGCAAACAGCGCTGTCCAGGAGTCACAACAGCGCTGTTGAGGGAAACACCGTCAACCAGAAAGTTTTCCAACAGCGCTGTCCCAGGGAGTCCCTTACATCTTCACTTTCCAGAAACTTTTTGAACATCGATGTTCCCTTTTAAACATCGCTGTCTTCCCAAAACTTTTTGTTTTCAACCAAAACCAGAAACTTTTCAAACAGCGATGTCTCACTTTCAACATCGATGTCCATCTTTACAAAATTTTTTTCTATCGTAAAACAGCGATGTAGTGACACCCAACAGCGCTGTTCTAATGGGTTCAACCCCTTACATATTTCCAGAAACTTTGGGAACAACGCTGTAGGATTCCCAACATCGCTGTCCTTTTGACACCTGTTTTTGAAACTTGACGCAGAACACCACTGTAAATAGGCCCAACAGCGCTGTCCCAACAGCGATGTCGCTTTTGGAACATCGCTGTTCAAACAGACTTTTTTCAAAAATATACCCGTTGGGCACTGAATTCAATGCTCTAACTCCCAGATTTTTGAATTTTTGAACGTTGGAAACCTAATCCTATATATATTTGGCCTCCTACTTACCTTCTTCTCACATCTAAACTCAATCCTCTTCAATCTCCTTGCATATTTTATCCTCTCTAACATTTTTTTTTGAGATTTCTTCATCACCATGGGCAAAGACAAGAGCAGGGCTGCTACCTCCGGGAAATCAAAGTCTAAATCCCGGGCACCGTCCACAAACTCCGAGGAGCGCCTCTACTATGGCGATGGGTCATACTTCTGGTTTGATTCCGAGGAGGAGCGCACCCGTTTCCTCACCTTCTTCTCTAAACGGGTTGTGGCTCCCCCACGAATCATTCCAGAGCGCTACCCAGAGCTGCAGGGCTACGACGACCTTGACGCGCAGCTTCATCAAGCCGGCCTTTGGCCGTTCGTCTCCCGGGCTCGAAAGGAGATCAACCCGGCGCTGATCCGGGCCTTCTACTCCAACCTCCGGCGTGAGGACGACGTGCTCTATTCGCTCGTCAAGAGCACGCCGATCGAGCTCACCGTGGAGCAGCTTGGGCGCATCGCCAGCCTCCCCTTCCAAGGCGACGATGTGTCTCACTATGGTGGAGAGGATTGGGTGCTCAACAACGAGGGCCTTATCCTCAACGAGCTTGGCATCACCGAGCTCAAACGCCATGCCTCGGGCCGCCCAACCATCCACTCCGCCAACCCCGAAGGCCGCCTCGTCCTCTACATCGTCACCCGGATCATCAAACCCAGGAAGCACGGCCACACCATCATGCACGGTGAAGACCTCAAGCTTATCCATGCGATCATGCATTCGGCCCCAATCAATTGGGCAAAGTTTGTCATGATCAACATGACGATTGCCGCGTCCACCGAGCACGACCACCTCCTCCCATACCCGTTTTTGGTGATGGACATCCTTGAACGGTTCAAGGTAACCACCACTGTTGGCCCGCTCTCGAAGGCCACGAAGATTTGGACAACGCCGCGCCTGCCACTGCCGCGCCACGCCGCACTGCCTCTGCCGCTGGCCCAGCCGAACCCCAGGCCCGGGCCAACCTCGCCTCCATCGCCGACTCCCTCAACCGGCTCCACCTCAAGGTTGACGGGATGGGGAGCTATCTTGAACGGCTCGACGTGGCTGTTCAACGCCAAGGATACGCGATGAACTCATACTTCCAAGGCATCAACTACGTCCCCCCACCGTACCACGGCACGTTCCTTGGGCAAGTGTATGGTGACGAGGACGAAGCCGATGACTCCTACGCCCGGTCAAGCTCCCCGAATGAAGACGAGTTCGACAATGCCGTTGATGGTGATGAGATGGACGTCGATGACGACGAGGAAGAAACCGAAGACGAAGCCTAGGACTCCCCTAGCATTTCTTTCTTTTCTTTCGATTATCCTGTTTTTCATGCTTCCGTTGTACTCCGCTATTTCCATTTAGTCAATAAAAGTATCTTTTATCTTTTTGTTAATGTCAAAAGGGGGAAGAAAAGGGCTATGCATATACTAAGGGGGAACGTCTCCAACAACGAGACCGTTTGATTTTAATCCGACTAATTTTTTTTTAGCACAAATTAAGGGGGAACTTTTTTTTTTTTAACAAATTCTCTTAAAAATCAAATATCCCTTAGTATGCATATCCCCGTCTTGTTTGCCATTATCAAAAAGGGGGAAATTGTTGGAACACGGGTTTACGCCTACGTCGTACTAAACTGTGTTCGGTTTTTATGACAGGTTTTGATAATGCCAAACCGCCGCGAAATATCGAAGCTAAAGTGAGCAAAACTAAGGCGAAGGAACATGGCATGATGAATTGAGAACCAAGAACCCAGAATCAAGAACGAAGAACTAGAATTGTATTGAGTCGGTCTTAATGTGATCAAGACCGGCACAAAATTCCAAATCTTGGCTCTCTAGGCTCAATTCATAAAAATTTCTTTTATATGTTCAAAAATATTTTTCTTAAGTTTAAACTTGGGTAAAAACGCTTGGAGTTCGCCCAAACCAAAAACCAAGCCATCCGGCGTTCGGTTTTCAGAAACCGGCATTCGGCTCTCGGTTTTCGGCATTGGTTTTTGGCGTCCGAATCAACCAAGTGGTTTTCAACTTTTTATGACTGATTTTTACTTCTGGGCATATTTAAATAGTTCTCCAACAAAAACGCCTCAAAAACCACCTTCCGTTTTTGGTCGTTTAGTGAAAACCATGCGAAACGGCGCGAACTTGGCTAGCCGTGGTTTTCAACTAAATGACGTGGTTTTTAAGATGTTTTACTTGATTTCTTAGCAAAATGCAATATAAAAATGTTTTCTAAACTTGGTTTTTATTTTGGAGAACTTGCGTTTTTGACATCGTCTAACGGCGTGACTAAACCAACCATGGGTCTGGCCAAACCAGCCCAACAGCGATGTTGAGGTAATCAACAATGCTGTCTGGCCTGGGTAGCTAAAAACATTGTTTGGCGTTAAGTCTTCGAACAGCGATGTTGGACACCAGACATCGCTGTTGAGCCAAGGTTGGATTTCCAGAAACTTCTGGAACAGCGATGTAGGCTTCCCTACAGCGCTGTCCAACCTAAGCCAAAAATATAGTGCATTGGCAGAAAGTTTTTGGACAGCGATGTTGACCCAGCAACAGCGCTGTCAGGCCAAACTTCCATCTTCAATGGCAGACCTAAACAACGATGTTCTAGTATAGAACATCGATGTAGAGACCTGACCGTTGGAAGGAATTTAAGGCTAAAACTTTCCTTGTTTGGAAGTCAACAGCCAAAACAACGATGTAGGGATTTTAGACATCGCTGTTGGCATGACCGTTGCTTCCCATTTTTCAAACCGCAAGCCTAGAACAGCGATGTCCAGGCCTAGGACAGCGCTGTCTGGGTGATTTTCAGCATATCCAAATTTTATCAAATCCCACAAATTGTGCCAATCACCCCTTAAATACTTTGGTCCGTTGGAGCCTATTTTTCTACTATAAAATGGGGTGTTTGGGTATGTTTTACACATCACATTACTTCACAACTCCTACTCTTTCACTGCAAATCATTCTTCAATTATTCATAGCTTTTGAGAGCCATTTTTGTGAAGCTTGTGTTGTTCTTGAGCGTTCTTAGCTTACTCATTATCCACTCTAAAAGAGAGTATTGTTCTTGAGTGTTTTTAGTGTTCTTAGACACTTGACAAGAGAAGGTATTTCTCTTGTTGTTTGAAGGAAGGGCTGTTTCCTTCGAAGGTTCGTTGAGGTTCGTGTGACTCGAATTCTCAAGGTGTACGGGTTTGTTAAGCACCGTTAAGCTTAACGAGATAGTAGTGTAGCTCGAGCGAGTCTCTCGGGAGGCTGGATTAGCCACAAGTTGTGGTGAACCAGGGTAAAATCGGTGTGCCTCTTTACTTCTCGTTTATTCATTTTTTATTCCTGCGATTTCTTGATCAAACTCTATTCACCCCCCCCCCTCTACCGTTGGTCTATTGTTCTAACAATTGGTATCAGAGCCTAACTCGCGTCCAAACTTAACCGTTTGAGAGTAAAGCGATCATGGGTTCTTCTTCTAGAAATCTCTATGCAGGAATTGGAGAAGGTCAATCAACCTCTAGGCTACCACTCTTTGATGGCACCAACTACTCTTATTGGAAGGAACGGATGAGAATCTATATTCGTTCCACCAACTTCCAATTGTGGTTGGTGATCAAAAATGGCGAAGAAATCCCTATGAAAAAAGTGGGAGAAACCACGGTCCCAAAGACCGAAAACGAATTTGATGCCGAGGACATCAAGAAGATTGAAAACTATGCAAAGGCCATCAACATGCTATATTGCGCGGTCAACCCCGATGACTACCGAAAGATCTCCTGTTGCACAACCGCCAAGGAGATGTGGGACAAGCTTGAAGTTACGTACGAAGGTACCGATCAAGTGCGTGAAGCCAAGATCGATTTTCTCACCCAAGAGTACGAAATGTTCCGAATGAAAGAAGGTGAGAAAATCGATGACATGTTCGACCGGTTCTCAAAGATCATCAACGAGAGCCATTTTTTTGAAGCTTGTGTTGTTCTTGAGCGTTCTTAGCTTACTCATTATCCACTCTAAAAGAGAGTATTGTTCTTGAGTGTTTTTAGTGTTCTTAGACACTTGACAAGAGAAGGTATTTCTCTTGTTGTTCGAAGGAAGGGCTGTTTCCTTCGAAGGTTCGTTGAGGTTCGTGTGACTCGAATTCTCAAGGTGTACGGGTTTGTTAAGCACCGTTAAGCTTAACGAGATAGTAGTGTAGCTCGAGAGAGTCTCTCGGGAGGCTGGATTAGCCACAAGTTGTGGTGAACTAGGGTAAAATCGGTGTGCCTCTTTACTTCTCGTTTATTCATTTTTTATTCCTGCGATTTCTTGATCAAACGCTATTCACCCCCCTCTAGCGTTGGTCTATTGTTCTAACATATATATATATATATATATATATATATATATATATATATAGGGGTTGGTTCTAATAAGAATGACTTATAATGAAAGAAATAAGAATGAATAGTATGTGTTGGATTGGATGGATCGTACGGCAGTAAGAAAACCAAAATCTCTATTAATCTCCACAATTTAAAAAGGAAATCCATAAATGCTGCCCATGAAATTAGGATCTATTTATTTACGGAGGGCATGAAGGTAAATTCACAAGCTTATTTAATGAGCTGTATTCCACCTTCTACGTGCATTATATTATACGGAGTAATATAATATTAATTTCATATTATTTATTTATTCTAATGCATTATTTATTTTGTACATAACTTTTTGTACATAAGTATTACCTTGATAAATAATATGTGGTTGGAAATCTCTCATCGAAATCTACCTAATGACACCAATATTGAATATAAAATTTTGATATTCTCTTCTTAGATTTCAAAGTAAGAAAAGTAAGATTTATGAATGTGCTGTGATTGCAGATATATGCACTAAAAGTTGCTTTTTAAATATTTTTAAAAATTTATTCTAATGGCTTGTGGAGTAGTGAATAATGACTTCTGAGAATGCATTTTATTCCAAACAAGTATAATACAAATTAGAGAAATAATTTGCCTATGTATGATTTGAACCCACATCTGTACTACATACCGCTCTACCATTTGAGCTAATAGGCAATGATTTAATGTTTTTAAGGAGATTTAATTTATATCTTGCACTTTGACCTAATAAATATGTATTTTAATATTTTAAAATTGAAACCATCCAACTTGTTTCATACCAATGTTCAAATGTATTACAAAACTTTTTAAATGCATCCCTATTAGAATATATTGATGCATCATATTTATGTAGTTATAATTTTGTTAGATAGATGAATTTCACTACGATTTTGAGAATGTATTATCATTTACCTTAATTATGAGAATGCATTGTTTTATAATGAAAATGCATTACCTAGATATAATAATGCACAATAACATAAATAGAGAAACTCATGCAGACTTTATATTGACACTGCACTCAGTGTCTGTTAGAGTTTGCATCACACTGCATCAAAAACCTTAATATTGGATTGCAATATTGACTAAAATTATGCTAGATAGAATGCAAAAAATTAAGCAAGACCAAACCTATTATAAAAAACAAATTCACTTTACATTTACCTAAAACACAATTTTGGACACTCTAAAATATAAGGCTATAAGATTATCTTAATATGCACTAAGGCATATTATATATCATAAGTACGATATAAGTGAAATGTAAATTGATTAACACAATTTTGGACACTCTAAAATATAAGGCTATAAGATTATCTTAATATGCACTAAGGCATATTATATATGTATTCATGCTATAGAAGAGATTTTATTCATGCCCAAAGTGAATATAGAGTTGGTAATTGGGTGCGGTAAAAACAACTAAAAGTGTATTACAAAGCAATAAGAATGACATCCCCTAGAAAAAAAAACTATACCAAAAAGAATTTTAAAAATGTATGTTTAATAATGTAAAACATCTTTCCAAGGTTAGAAATGTGAAGTAACACAACCGCAAATAAATGAATTCACATCAATGGATGGATTAAAATCCACAAACTCCACTCAAAATGGATGAAAACAGATAAAAATTGAGAATATTGTGGGTACGATTCAACATTAAATAAGTAATAACCCATGATCCAAAGTTGGAAAATTCAAAATGAATGGAAAAAAATTATTTCTAAATCCGAAAATCAAACTCACTTCCTGAATAAAAATCAGCGATGTTATCAAATAATTGGTGACAAATTAAAAAAACTAAGATAAACCAAATATGGAATTAATTATGCAAATAATTCAATTGGGAAATCTAATAATATATTATGTCATTTATGAATAAAAATTTTTTTAGTAACATACCAGGTTGAATTCTTGGAGGGATCCTACAAAAGTGGCTTGCTCATTATTTTCGATGAAGATACAATTCAATAATTGAAAATCCCATAGCCAAATAAGGAAAATGAAAACTGAAAAGAGAGAAGATCGTAAATAGATTTTATGGAGAAGAAGAGCAACTGATAAGGAAATAATGATTGTGGTTGAAAATCCTAAAATGTCCTTGTGAAAAGAATGAAAAAGGAACGGATGAGATGTAGATCCAATGGCTATAATTCATTCTTATTTCTTTCATTAGATTTCAATCTTATTTGAACCAATATATATATATATATATATATATATATATTATTTTGTTTTATTTTTTTATTATACAATATCTTATTTTTATTAGAAGAAAAGGAAAAGTACAAGGGGGGTTGGCCGACCCCTACATAAAAGGCTACAGAAAACACCAAGAAGACAACAATCCAAAAACAAAAGATCAAAGCAAAAGGTAAAATACAAAAGCCACCAGGATGGAAACCAACAATTCCAAAAATCAAACTTGTGAAGCTGGTATGTCTTGGATCAACACTAGGAAAGGTGGGGTGTCCTTCGCTATAGAGATGCTATGAAATACTCCCTCCGTCCGAGAGTATTTGTCCACTTTCATTTTTACACACCATCCAATACACTTCTTTAATCCATTTTATCTTGTAATTTGTATATTAAAAAATTATAGAAATTATATATTAATAATCTATATGTTAAAACAAATCAAACAAGATCACACATGACTATATTTAGGCTTACACATTGAGAGAATTTGATGAGTCAAAGTGCTTAGATGAACAATTCCAAAAGTCAAAACTGGACAAATATAGCGGGACGGAGGTAGTATAAAACTTCAATCTCAGCCTAATTGGACAGAGGAAGCTGAGCCAAAATTCTTCCAGGGCCTATAGCTACTCCACTGTTTCAATTCCTCTTGTTTTCAATTTAGTTTTAACCTCACATGTTGCTTCCGAAACTTGACACCAAACATTGAAAGATGATAAACAGAATGGAAATTAGAAACCCAGGGTCATATCTTTCCTATGTGAGTATAATGCTTGCAGCGATTCTAAACTTCAAAGATAAGATTTAAGTACAGCCCAAAAAATTGTCTAGGTCCCCATAAAAAAAGGGGCAATAAGCTCGAGAATACCTTCCTCTTATTCATAGTCGATAAGATGTTCACACAACGGCGTGATGATCAGAACGTCAATGTTGGCGCAGGCTAAGAGAACGGGGTGTCGCATACCTTTCAACTTAATAGCTCTTATGCATTGTGCACTCTTCATAGCCTCCCTTGTTGCTTTTATAGCCTTCCCCTGAAGGTTTGAGACAAGCCCCTTTTTAATCTTTTCCTTGATGAAGGGCGAGCGTAATGCTTCCTTGATCATCCAAAGGGAGTTCTCAAAGTCATCGCTAATATGTTGTTCAAAAATGGGCATAAGCAATTCATACTGCTTTTGAAAGTCTCCTCCTGCCTCTTCTTCCACTTTGTTATCTATTAACATGAGATCCAGCTCCGGTAGAATGGAGTCCTCCCAAAAAGAAGCTTCCACTTCTTGATTAAGCAGGCATTCAATAAGTTGTTGCTCTTCGTTGCTTAGGGGCTTCAGTGCTAACAAACTATCTGGCTCAACATTTGCATACCCTTCATTCTGCAGAGTAGATTCCTTGTCTTCATTGTTCACTGAATTGTTTAATCCCTCTGCCAACTTGGGGGGAGAAAGTGTTGAAACACGGGCTTGTCACGTTTTCGTACTAAAGCCGTGTTTGTTTTCATGACAGGTTTTGATAATGCCAAACCGCCGTGATAAAGACACAAATTGAATATACAAGGCAAATAACGAAGACAAGAACAAGATCTAAACGAAGACCAAGAACGAAGACCATAGTCTTAGTATCGTTGAGTCGGTCTTTATTATGATCAAGACCGACCCAATCTTTACACCTTGGCTCTTTAGGCTAAAATCTTTTCATTGCATTTCTTACATCATAAAAATGTTTTTCAAACATGTTTAAGTCATCAAAAACACTTGGTGTTCGCCCAAACCAAAAACCAAGCCATCCGGCGTTCGGCTTTCAGAAACCGGCGTTTGGCTTTCGGTTACCGGCGTTGGTTTTTGGGGTCCAAACCAACCAAGTGGTTTTCAACATTTTATGACTGGTTTTTACTTCTTGGCATGTTTAAACAGTTCTCCAACAAAAACACTTTGAAAACCACCTTTTGTTTTTGGTCGTTTGGCAAAAACCACGCAAAATGACATAAACTTGGCTAACCATGGTTTTTACTCAAATGACGTGTTTTTTAAAGTGTCTCACTTGATTTATTAGCCAAATACATCAAATAAGTGTTTTAAACACTTGGTTTTTATTTTGGAGAACTTTGGTTTTTTGGTCGGTTTTTGCATCGGTTGGCTAGGCCGTGGTTAAGGCAAAAACCATAGGTTTTTGGCTAACCATCCACCCAGCGATGGGAAGAACTTCCCATCGATGGGTAAGCGGTCCCTTAGCCAAACCAACTTCCAGAACCATGCCAAACAGCGATGGGAGGTTCTACCCATCGCTGTTAAAGCCATGGTCCAACATCAACACAAAGGCAGAACGATCTTACCCAGCGATGAGGACTTTACCCCATCGATGGGAACCCAGCGATGGGAAGGCCAAACCATTGATGGGAAGTCATGACCGTTGTAAGTCATTTAAGGTTGATTCTTTCCTTGTTTGGAAGTCAACCTCCCACCCAGCGATGGGAAGGTTGTACCCATCGATGGGTAGGTGACCGTTGGCTTCAAAACTGAAGGAAAATTGGCCTACCAGCGATGGGTAATGTCCATACATTGCTGGGAAGCCAATATCCTGCAGATCCCAAATTTATTCAATCCCATAAATCAAGCCAATCACCCCTTTAATGTATTGGTCCGTTGGAGCCTATTTTGGCACTATAAAAAGGGGTGTTTGGGTCTGCTTTTCTCATCAATTCACTTCACAATTCTCCTACTTTCATTGCATTCAAACAACATTCTTTTCATAGCTTTTTAGAGCAAATTCGTGTGAAGTTTGAGTTGTTCTTGAGCGTATTTAGTTTACTCAATATCTACTCTAAAAGAGAGTCTCGTTCTTGAGTGTATTTGTGTTCTAAGACACGTTGAGAGAAAGTATTTCTCTCGTTTGATTCGAAGGAAGGGCTGTTTCCTTCGAAGGTTTCGTTGAGGTTCGTGTGACTCGAATTCTCAAGTTGTAAGGGTTTGTTAAGCACCGTTAAGCTTAACGAGATAGTAGTGTAGCTTGAGAGAGTCTCTCGAGATGCTGGATGAGCCACAAGTTGTGGTGAACCAGGGGAAATTCGGTGTGCCTCTTACTCTTCTCTTTACTTCTCTTTTAAATTTTTAATTCCTGCGATTTCTACGATCAAACGCTATTCACCCCCCCTCTAGCGTTGGTCTTTCATTCTAACAATTGGTATCAGAGCCTAACTCGCGTCGAAACTTAACCGTTTGAGAGTAAAGCGATCATGGGTTCTTCTTCTAGAAATCTTTATGCAGGAATTGGAGAAGGTCAATCAACTTCTAGGCCACCGCTCTTTGATGGCACCAACTACACATATTGGAAAGAGCGGATGAGAATTTATATCCGCTCAACCAACTTCCAGTTATGGTTGGTCATCAAGAACGGCAAAGAAACGCCAATGAAGAAGGTTGGTGAAAAGCTCGTCACAAAGACTGAGGACGAATTTGATGCCGAAGACATCAAAAAGGTAGAAAACTACGCCAAGGCAATCAACATGCTCTATTGCACGGTCAACCCCGATGATTATCGCAAGATCTCTTGCTGCACCACTGCCAAAGAAATGTGGGACAAGCTCGAGGTCACATATGAAGGTACAGACCAAGTTCGGGAAGCCAAAATTGACTTCCTAACGCAGGAGTACGAAATGTTTAGGATGAAGGAAGGCGAAAAGATCGATGACATGTTCGATCGGTTCTCAAAGATCATCAACGACCTTCATGCTCTCAAGAAGACTTACGCCAACAAGGATCTCGTGAGGAAAATCCTGCGGAGTCTCACACCCGAATGGAGATCAAAGGCCGATGCAATCTACGAATCCATCGGAGTCTCCAACGTCACCATCGACGGGTTAAGAGATAACCTCAAAACTTATGAATCAACTATTCTAACCCCATCTTTGGATGAACAAAAGAAGAAAGGTATAGCACTCAAAGCAACCAAGGAAACGGTGGAAGAAGTCTCAAGCGACGATGACAACGAGTTCGGACTCGTCATCAAGAAATTCCACAAGTTCATGAAGAAGGAATTTGAGCGCAAAGGAAGAAAGCACGACGGTCCCCCAAAGTGCTATGGCTGTGGCGAGATAGGCCACATCAAGCCAAGGTGTCCAAAAGGCAAAAACGGCAAGGACAAACCCGGCTTCAAAAAGCAACGAGCCTATATCTCATGGGGTGGTGACCAAGAAGAGGATGAAGCCGCCAACCTCTATCTCATGGCACACGAAGACCACGTCGACAAAGTACAAGAGGTATGTACCACTTCTTCCGGCTCTTACACTTTTGAAGAGATGCAAGAAGCACTTCGAGAGCTTTACGATGAATTTGTTAGCGCTTCTAAAACCAACAAATCATTAAAGAAACATCTTTCAACTCTTGAAAATGATTTTGAAAAACTAGAAAAAGATAATGAAAAGTTGAAACAAGAAAATAAGTTTTATGGCAAAAGAAGCATTGACAAACCGGAAAGCTCTTCAAGCGAATGTGAATCTTGCAAAGCTTTAAAAGAAAAAGTTGCGAAACTTGAGAGTACGGTTAAGAAAATCAATACACCACACAAAGATCTTAACTTACTCCTTGACACTATGCATTTTTCTAAGGAAGGATTAGGTTTTGATAAAAATGAATCTAAGGATAAAAACGTTGAGCAAACACCTAGACAACCTCCTAAGACTCAATGTAAGAAAGGTAAAAATTAGGATAATAGAAAATCTAGTCAACCTAAGGACACTAGACAACCTAGACAAAAACCTAGGAATGAACATGTGCATGTTAGACAACCTAGAAAAAATTATCAAAATGAATTTGTGCATAAAAATAATTTTTCAAATAGACAAAATAATGCTAGGACACCTAGAAGAGAGAATTTTCAAAAACCAATATTTTCTCAAAATAGGAGGAACATGGTTAGGCCCCCTAGCAACTATTATCAACCTAGGAGGATGCACAACCCAAACGTAGTTTGCCACTATTGCAATAGGGTAGGACATATAGCTCTTGTTTGCTTTACTAGGCATAGGCATTGGGCACAAAATGAATCACACTACCACTTTGCACCTAACACTCAAGGACCCAAAAAGACTTGGGTACCTAAATCTTATTAAATCATTTTTGTAGGTGTGCTTGAAAGCGTCAAGTGTACTTTGGTACCTTGACAGCGGATGCTCCAAGCACATGACCGGAGATGCATCCAAGTTCCTACAAATCAAACCCGCTAAAGGAGGAAACGTAGTCTTTGGAGACAATAGCAAGGGAAAGATTATCGGCATCGGGTCTGTAGGTAAGTCCGAAGACTCCTCTATAGATAATGTCTTGCTTGTTAAGGGTCTTAAACACAATCTCTTGCGCATAAGCCAATTATGTGACAAGGGAAACTGTGTGACCTTTGATTCAAAATCATGCACGGTAGAACGTCTTAGTGACAATAAGGTCATTCTACGTGGTGATAGAATCGATAACATATATATGGTTAACTTAGACAAATCTCCCTCCGGCTTTGCTAAGTGCCTCATGACTAAAGAGGAAGACACTTTGTTATGGCACTGAAGGGTAGCTCATATGAATATGAACCTTTTGAACAAATTGGTTTCACAAGACTTAGTAATTGGCATTCCAAAACTTAAGTTTGAAAAAGACACCATATGTGATGCATGTCAAAAGGGGAAGCAAGTTCGGGCTTCGTTTAGTCTAAGAACGTTGTTTCAACGTCTAGACCGCTTCAACTTTTGCACATGGATCTCTTTGGTCCTTCTAGAAGGAAAAGTTTTGGTGGTAATTACTTTGCGTTTGTGATTGTCGATGACTACTCTAGGTTTACATGGACCTTGTTTCTTACTCATAAAAGTGAGGCATTTCAAGTTTTCAAAAATTTTCTAAAGAAAGTTCAAAATGAAAAAGACACAACCATAGTATCCATAAAAAGCGACCATGGGGGAGAGTTCGAACGAAATCTATTCTCAGATTTAGGTGACGAACTCGGCATTGATCATAATTTCTCAGCCCCACGTACACCACAACAAAATGGAGTGGTGGAACGTAAAAATAGATGTCTCGAAGAGATGGCTAGAACTATGATCAATGAGGCAAAAATCCCTAAGTATTTTTGGGCGGATGCCGTGAGTATTGCGAGCTACGTGTTAAACCGAGCCGTCATTCGACCGATACTCATGAAAACACCTTATGAACTATACAAAGGGAGAAAGCCAAACCTTTCCCATCTTCGAGTCTTTGGTTGCAAATGTTTTATTCATAACAACGGCAAAGACAATTTAGGCAAATTTGATGCCAAGTCGGATGAAGGGATTTTTCGGGGTTACTCATTACGTAGAAAGGCCTATAGAGTCTTTAATAAACGTACCTTGACTATTGAGGAGTCCCCTCACGTGGTATTTTCCGAAGATAACCCTCGCTTGGCGAGAAAGGATATTTGTGATGATCTTGCAGATTCACTAGAGAGGATACACGTTGAAGACGATGAAGAGAACACGGGAATATACACCAACACGCAGCCGCAAATTGGCAAGATGCCTCAAGCAACTACTCAAAGTGAAGAAGAAAATCAAGAGGAAGAAGAAGAACAAGAGGAACATGAAGAAGAAGCAACCGAGCTTCCCATTGCATGGAGAACGAACAAGAACCATCCGCTTGACCAGGTAATTGGTAGCATCAATCGCGGGGTAAGTACTCGAAACTCACTTAGGGACACCGTAGGACACATGGCTTTTGTTTCTCAAATTGAACCTACAACCATTTCCGAAGCAATAAACGATGATTATTGGACCTTGGCTATGCAAGAGGAGCTAAACCAATTCAAACGGAATGACGTTTGGGAATTGGTGCCAAGGCCCAATGATCGTACGATTATTGGTACGAAATGGGTGTTCCGTAACAAACTTGATGAAAATGGAATAATCACTAGAAACAAAGCTAGGCTCGTAGCTAAAGGCTACAATCAAGAAGAAGGCATTGATTTCGAAGAAACTTATGCACCCGTAGCACGTTTAGAAGCTATTCATTTACTTCTTGCTTTTGCTTCGTCTATGGATTTTAAACTTTATCAAATGGATGTTAAGAGTGCCTTCCTCAATGGTTTTATTCAAGAGGAAGTGTATGTTGACCAGCCCCCGGGGTTTGAAGACTTTGAGTTTCCCGACCATGTCTTCAAACTCAAGAAAGCGCTCTACGGTCTCAAACAAGCACCCCGTGCTTGGTACAAATGTTTGAGTAAATTTCTTTTGGATAGTGGTTTCCAAAGGGGAAAGGTTGACACCACACTTTTTATCAAGAGTAAAAACAATAACATCCTTTTGGTTCAAGTTTATGTAGACGATATTATATTCGGTGCTACTAACGAGTCTTTGTGCAAGGAATTCTCAACGTTAATGACAAGTGAATTTGAAATGTCAATGATGGGCGAGCTCACGTTCTTTTTGGGACTCCAAGTCAAGCAAATGAAAGATGGCACGTTCATTTGCCAAACTAAATATTGCAAGGAGCTCCTGAAACGGTTCGAAATGGACAACGCCAAATCCATGGCGACCCCGATGAGCACGTCCAACCATCTAGACAAAGACGAGAAAGGTAAGGAAGTAGAAGTCAAAAAGTGTCGAGGTATGATCGGATCCCTTCTCTATCTTACCGCTAGTAGGCCGGATATCATGTTCAGCGTATGCCTTTGCGCAAGGTATCAATCATGTCCGAAGGAATCGCACTTAACAGCGGTGAAACGGATCATGAAATACCTTGTTGGCACGGTTAACGTTGGACTGTTGTATCCAAAAGGCTCTTCGTGTCATCTCGTTGGTTACTCCGACTCGGACTTTTCCGGTTGCAAATTGGACCGTAAAAGTACGAGTGGGACTTGTCACTTACTTGGTAGCTCTTTAGTTTCATGGTTTAGTAAGAAACAAGTTAGTGTTGCGTTATCCACAACCGAAGCGGAATACGTTGCCGCCGGTAGTTGTTGTGCTCAAATCCTTTGGATGAAACAACAACTCGTGGACTATGGCCTTAGTATCAGTCACGTTCCACTTCTTTGTGACAATACTAGCGCCATAAGCTTGACAAAGAACCCCGTTCTTCACTCAAGGACGAAACACATTGACATTAGGCACCATTTCATTAGAGATCATGTTCTCAAAGGTGATGTCGAAATTGAGTTTGTTGAAACACACAACCAATTAGCCGACATTTTCACAAAACCTTTAGAGAAAGAGTCGTTCTTCCGCATTCGTAGTGAACTCGGAATCCTTGACTCCACGATGATCTAATTTGTGCATTTTATCANTCAAGGACGAAACACATTGACATTAGGCACCATTTCATTAGAGATCATGTTCTCAAAGGTGATGTCGAAATTGAGTTTGTTGAAACACACAACCAATTAGCCGACATTTTCACAAAACCTTTAGAGAAAGAGTCGTTCTTCCGCATTCGTAGTGAACTCGGAATCCTTGACTCCACGATGATCTAATTTGTGCATTTTATCAAACTTTTATCTGTGCTTGAACGTTTACTAACTTGAGCGTCGGAGGGTTTTCTAACTCTTTTTTGCAGGGACGGTTCGAAGTGAAAAATTCTGGAAATCAGGGGGAACCAGCGATGGGTTGGTTATACCATCGTTGGGAGGGAAGTTTCATTTTTTTCAGAACCCCTCTTCCCATCGATGGGTACTTTCTCCCATCAATGGGTGATTGACTCTATTTTTTTTAAAGCCTTTTAACGGATTTCCAGATACTCCTTTCCCATCGATGGGTATTTTCGCCCATCGCTGGGTGGATGATTTTTTTTTAAAACTTTTCCCAGAACCTCCCCACCCATCGATGGGAACTTCCTCCCATCGCTGGGTGTTTGACACTATTTTTTAAAAATTTTAACGGATTTCTCAAAACCACCAACCCAGCGATGGGATGGTGTTAACATCGCTGGGAAGGCTTTTGTCATTTAATCTTCAACTTTCTAGAATCCACCTTCCCATCGATGGGAGAATCCACACATCGCTGGGAAGGCAGTTTTGAATTTCTCCTTGGTTTCCAGTGGCGACCTTCCCATCGATGGGAACTCCGACCCATCGATGGGAAGCCTGCTGCGATTCAAATTTTTTGACCCTTGGGCATCGAATTTAATGCCCAATAGTCATATTTTTTGAACTAAATCCGTTTTCTCCTCCACTCCTATAAATATACCTCATGTTTTATCATTCCTAATCACAAATCTTCATCCAAATTTCATACTTCTAAGCAAAATTCATTCTTTTTCTTCAAAAACGTCCCGATGGCCGGAGGATAGAAGACGAAGGCTTCCAAGAAGAAGGCCGCTGCCGAACCCTCAAGCGCCGCGCCTCCTCCGTTCCCATATCTGGACGGATCTTTCTTGGAGTTCGGGTCGGAGGAGGAACTCACCCGGTTTCTCACATACTTCGCCAAGCGCCCGATCTCTCCGCCCTGCGTGCTCCCGGAGCTGTTTCCCCAACAAAAAGGGTACCACGACCTTGACAATCAACTCAAGGAGTCGGGTCTGTGGCCTTTTGTCTCCAAGAGCCGCACGAGCTTCAACCCCGCCTTCGTCCGGGCGTTCTACTCAAATCTCCGCCGCGACGGGGACATCATCCGGAGCAGCATCAATCTCTACGACATAGAGATTGATTTGCCTACTTTTGCTCGGATCGCAGGGCTGCCCATCCGCGGTGATGACATCGCGACATATGGTGGCGACGATTGGATCCTCAACAACGAGGCGGTCGTCATCCGAGAGCTTGGGATCACCAACCTCATTCGCCACAGCGGCGCATCGACGATTCACTCGGCCCCACTGGACAAGCGCCTCCTCCTCTGCATCATCACCCGGATTCTCCGCCCCCGGGACAGCAGCCATACCTCGCTCTTCAACGAGGATTTGAAGGCAATCCACGCCATCATCCACGGCGCCTCCATCAATTGGGCGAAATTTGTCATGATCCACATGGCGGACTGCGCCTCCATCGCCACCAGCGGAGCCTGCCGTACGCCTTCCTCGTCATGGATCTCATTATCGCCTCCGACATCCACATCGCCAGACCGGATACGAAGATGACGAAGATTTAGATCATCCAAGATAGCACCTTCCGGAAGAAGTCCGGAGACCGGGACAACGCCGGACCAAGTCGTGCACCAGCCCTCGCTCCCGCTCCCGCCAAGGCCAATCTACAATCCATAGCCGACACCCTAAATCGGCTAACCATCACCGTAGACGGCATGGGCCAGTACTTGGAGCGGATGGACGGGACGCTGCAACGCCAACACCACGACATGACGGCGTTCTTCCGCGGCATCAACTTCGTCCCGCCGCCTTTCGACAGCACCATCCTCAACCAAAACTTCGAGGGCGAGGATGAGGACGACGACTCCTACGCTCCGTCCTCCTCCCCCGATGAGGCCGACTTCGAGGACGCGGTTGACGGCGATCCCATGGACGAGGAGGATGACGACGAGGACGAGGATGCCGATTCCTGGACTCTTCTTACTTTTTATTTAATATGATTGTTTTTTTTTAATTTAATTCTCATTCCGTGTTGTATTCCGCATTTCCCTTTCGTTTTAATGAATAAAAGTTTACATTTAATTCTAAAGTTTACTTATAATTCTTTTTGTTAATGTCAAAAGGGGGAAGATATCAAGGTTATGCATACTTTGAGGGGGAACTTTTTTTCATTGTTAAAAATAAAATTGCATCTATTAAGGGGGAACAATTTTTTTAAGTCTCAAAACAATCCTCCTATGCATAACCTCCTCTTGTTTGCCATTATCAAAAAGGGGGAAGGGGAAATTGTTGAAACACGGGCTTATCACGTTTTCGTACTAAAGCCGTGTTTGTTTTTATGACAGGTTTTGATAATGCCAAACCGCCGTGATCAAGACACAAATTGAATATACAAGGCGAAGAACGAAGACAAGAACAAGAGCTAAACGAAGACCAAGAACGAAGACCATAGTCTTAGTATCGTTGAGTCGGTTTTTATTGTGATCAAGACCGACCCAATCTTTACACCTTGGCCCTTTAGGCTAAAATCTTTTCATTGCATTTCTTACATCATAAAAATGTTTTCAAACATGTTTAAGTCATCAAAAACACTTGATGTTCGCCCAAACCAAAAACCAAGCCATCCGGCGTTCGGCTTTCAGAAATCGGCGTTCGGCTTTCAGTTATCGGCGTTGGTTTTTGGGGTCCGAACCAACCAAGTGGTTTTCAACATTTTATGACTGGTTTTTACTTCTTGGCATGTTTAAACAGTTCTCCAACAAAAACACTTTGAAAACCACCTTTTGTTTTTGGTCGTTTGGAAAAAACCACGCAAAACGGCATAAACTTGGCTAACCGTGGTTTTTACTCAAATGACGTGGTTTTTAAAGTGTCTCACTTGATTTCTTACCCAAATACATTAAATAAGTTTTTTAAACACTTGGTTTTTATTTTGGAGATCTTTGTTTTTTTTCGGTCGGTTTTTGCATTGGTTGGTTAGGCCGTGGTTAAGGCAAAAACCATAGGTTTTTGGCTAACCACCCACCCAGCGATGGGAAGAACTTCCCATCGATGGGTAAGCGGTCCCTTAGCCAAACCAACTTCTAGAACCATGCCAAACAGCGATGGGAGGTTCTACCCATCGCTGTTAAAGCCATGGTCCAACATCAACACAAAGGCAGAACGACCTTACCCAGCGATGGGGACTTTACCCCATCGATGGGAACCCAACGATGGGAAGGCCAAACCATCGATGGGAATTCATGACCGTTGTAAGTCATTTAAGGTTGATTCTTTCCTTGTTTGGAAGTCAACCTCCCACCCAGCGATGGGAAGCTTGTACCCATCGATGGTTAGGTGACCGTTGGCTTCAAAACTGAAGGAAAATTGGCCTACCAGCGATGGGTAATGTCCATACATCGCTGGGAAGCCAATATCCTGCAGATCCCAAATTTATTCAATCTCATAAATCAAGCCAATCACCCCTTTAATGTATTGGTTCGTTGGAGCCTATTTTGGCACTATAAAAAGGGGTGCTTGGTCTGCTTTTCTCATCAATTCACTTCACAATTCTCCTACTTTCATTGCATTCAAAAAACATTCTTTTCATAGCTTTTTAGAGCCAATTCGTGTGAAGTTTGAGTTGTTCTTGAGCGTATTTAGTTTACTCAATATCTACTCTAAAAGAGAGTCTCGTTCTTGAGTGTATTTGTGTTCTAAGACACGTTGAGAGAAAGTATTTCTCTCGTTTGATTTGAAGGAAGGGCTGTTTCCTTTGAAGGTTTCGTTGAGGTTCGTGTGACTCAAATTCTCAAGTTGTAAGGGTTTGTTAAGCACCGTTAAGCTTAACGAGATAGTAGTGTAGCTCGAGAGAGTCTCTCGGGAGGCTGGATTAGCCACAAGTTGTAGTGAACCAGGGTAAATTCGGTGTGCCTCTTACTCTTCTCTTTATTTCTCTTTTAAATTTTTAATTCCTGCGATTTCTACGATCAAACACTATTCACCCCCCCTCTAGCGTTGGTCTTTCATTCTAACAGAAAGCCCTCAAAGGACAAATGTCTTTTGGGGTATCAGCAGCTGCCTCTGCCTGAGGTAAATCTGGCACTGCATTAGGAGAGGCCACGAGAATAGAAGTGTTCCCTACTGAACAAGAACCAATGAAAGCATCTAGGGCTTTGAAAAAAATACACCATACCCCCTCTGTCTGTAGGAACAATAATGGAGGTTTTCCCTTCTCTTCTGGACTCAAGAATCCTGATATAGCCTCCCCAACAATTACATCCATAGTAAATGGTTATTTTACGATGCTTTTCCAAACGGGTGATAACCCATGGATTTTTCTGATTCAGTTTGGGGAAAAGTTCAAGCATCCAAATTAATCCATCTAGATCAAACCATATATTGTAAATCTTCTTGCCACTTTCACTGATACAAAAATTCTTATTGTAACAAGAGTGAAAGAGGGAAAAAACCTTGGATTGGATTCGGAAGGAGTGAGATTTATTCAGACTTTCGCACCTTGGGACATAGGGAGTATCGTACCCTCTTCGAGTCTTTGTAGATTTCCAGTTGCTGTGCTCTGTCCTTCTTCCCCAGGCATGAGTCTCCACAGGTCCATCTCCTCGAATAAAAAATCTCCGTCGATTCCTGTTTGGGTTGAAAGTTCACTGAAAATGATGAATCCCAAACTGTACTCTAGATCCGTTCCTCTCTCTAAACCCCATTTCATATATATATATATATATATATATATATATATATATATATATATATATATATATATATATATATATATATATATATATATATATGTTGGAGTTGGTGCCCTTATGGCCAACTACTGTTGTAATATCTTAGACCTGACCCACCTTAAGGACATTGGCTAGACTTTTAGTCTATGCTCTAAGTGTCCTTAATACGACTATTGGTATAACGATCCTTAGACTTGAAGTATTACGTTCTTTGAATGCGTGAACCCGTATGCTTTGATTCATTGTCCTAAGCCGTATGAAATAAGGATGGTACACAGGCTTTGTATTGGGCATGCCGCTGTGCGTATTCGAAGACGTAGATTACGTACAAAGCATTTGTCACGGCTACTTAAGCAGAATAATGTCTTGTAGGGGCCCACTAATAAGTATGACTGAGGAAATGCATTTCCATGCTGAGATGAGTTTAGACATCTGTTCTCATCAGCTAGACTTGTTAATCAGTAAATAACTTAATGGCTACAAGTTGGCTATTTTATACATCCCTTGCACTAAGTTAAGACATTGGGACAAAAAGATCTACGTTATACAAAGTCTTAGTCGTAGAATGGTTTTGACGGAGCAAACGTCTGAAATAATCTGGGGGTAATAATGTGTTGCTAGATACCGCTTATTACTTATAGTAATGGTGTAGAGTCAATACTGTGGCCAGTTTTATAAGTGCCTATATGGGTCACACACTTTGGACAATTTAAATAGTAGGATTATAAGAAGGGATAATATTTAATTTGTATATTGTAAAATAGTAAAACAAAATGTTTAATATAATATATATATTGTACCCGCCATATATCTTACATATCTTATAAATGGCTACTATGGTTAGGTACCCTCAAATAAAATGTAGTTTTTCCGTTAAACAAAATGATACGCACCGCTTTATTTGTTGGATTATGCTATGTGTACCCCAATTTGTACCCCGCAGTTTTGCACCAACATTTTGTGTTGGTGTAAAACTAATTTTTGTTAAACACACCAACATTTGTGTCCGTGTGAATTTTTATTAACGCACCAACACTTGTGTCGGTGTAAACCATCGAAATGTTTGTGCAAACATGTGGTGTACAAATGGGGTATATTTGTTGGTGTAAGTGTAGCATGGTCCTTATTTGTTGTACGCCGGTTTCTTACTCTTAAACTACCCCTACGACGTTAGTTGGTCGAGCATTTTTCTACCTGGTCTTGGTCTATTTGCTGTCCAAGCATCCCCAAATCTCCAACCACATAAAGTCGACTGCTAATTTACCCGGGAGTGTCTTCATTCTCTGCTTGCAGATTTCCCAGCGACGCATCAGCAACCCACCATAATTCGAAGTGAGAAGCTGGTACGATTCAAATTATTTTCCGATTCAAATTATTTTCCGATTTGTTGATCCCTTTCAGGATCACGACCTTAATTGTGGATCTGTACACTATCTTTTGTTTCCTGCTAATTTATAGCAAAACATGGATTTCCCGACGAAGCATCACCAACCCACCACACTCAATCTTAATAACAAGGAAATTATATTAGATGTGCAAATTTCACGGTACAATTCATAGGATTTTTCTTATTTTGTGTCTTCTATTTCTAGATCCGTAGCTTACATCTGAGGTATTTAATTTCATTTTTTTGCACTTCACATGGTTCAAGCTATTCCTCTATTGTACTCCGTATTATTTTGCCATTTTTTAATTCAGAGATGTGATGATGAAAATAAGTCTTTTCAAAATCTCAGAGTAGGGTTCTCTATTTTATTGTTTTTTATCCCAAAGTTTTGATTGATTTTTTGCTTGGAGCAATTTCACTTAGTTCTAAATAATTCTAATTGAGTGTTTGCTTAACAGTTTTACTTTGATAAAAAATTATCCATTTAGCCTCTTGGTAGAGATAAGCCATTATAGGAAGAAGGTTTTTATGTTCAGTTCTTCTTCCACTAAAAATCTCTTTTTTTTTGGACGAAAAAAACTCTTGTTAATTTTATACTCTGTATATATTTTTTTTGGTTAACTTCTGGTTTGGTTTATGGAATTTAGGCCTCAGAGTCGCATGTTTGAGTGACATTGTCTGTGGCAATTTTTGTGTTTGTTTTGCATTTATTTTAGTTAGGTCACGCATGTGTACAAGTTGAACTGTTTGGGATTCTCGATTCGAAAACATTGTATTAAGATTGTCTATTTTGGCCATGTGTAAGAGAGATGGATGAATTGTCACCAAAGCAGGACAATCTCTCATTTCAATGCTTGGAAGACATGCTGAGTTTCATCCATGAGTGTGATATGAAGCAGTCCGTCTAAAACGCCGAGAGGTCCCAACCCTTTAAAATATATCTTTCCTTCTTGTTCTTGGTGCTAGAACTCTTCCTTTTGGAACTCTCTTCATTGAGAATTTCTTTATACTCTTTGGCATCTGGTTTGCATCGTTATATTATGTTTTTGGATTTCTTCTCATTGTCCTCCTCATATTGGTGGTGGTTTGTGCACATGACTTTATTGTCCTTACATGCATATCGAGGTGAGGCGTTTTCATATGTCTAACGTTAGAGTTAGCTCGTAGATTAGAATCATAATCGAATGAATTGTGCAATTGATTGTAGAATTGGATGAATTGAATGTTGAATCCAACCTTTTTCACAAAATGATAATATTGACTCCAATATTGAAATTGAGGTGTAAATTAAGATAAAAATTTAAAGTATTGATTGCAGGATTATACTCCATATAATCTGTTCTTTTGTAGTGCACCGTATTAATGTTTTTTTTGTAGTGCACCGTATTAATTAGAAATAATCTAATTGCAAGAGTTAATTGAAAAGAATGTTACAGCTAAAAAGGAAAAGGATTTTTACTTCTAAATGGATTTTACAGTTACAAACAGGATTGGAAAAATGTTAAAAACAAGACATAATTGAAAAGCATGTTACACCGTACCAGTGAATATAAACACTGGCAGTGGTTTTTCTCCTAGGCATTTCCTTTTTACTTTTCACACTTGTACTATTAACTTTGATTGGACAGTAAATATTAACATCCAATTTCCATCAAAGCATTGTTAAATTAAAAAATCTAGACAAGAAAAGAAACTAAAATGACACTAAGGAATATAGAGAGAAATCCAGTTTAATGAGCATATGCGATTTCAGGTTTTTTTAAGAATAAAACTATAAAATATTCAATAATACATAATTTATTAATTTTTTAATTAATACAGTTTTAATAGAAAATTCCTAGGTTTTAGGATTACAAATTTATAACACGGCTAAAAAGGAAAAAGATTCTTACTTCTAAATGGATTTTACAGTTACAAACAGGATACTAAACAAAAAGAGATGATATATAAAAGCCTATGCTTTCAAGCTGCAGAGTACTAAACAAAAAGACATGATATATAAAAGCATATGCTTTCAATGAATGCATTGTATTAAAATTACCTAAAGAATGATGTTCCAAGGTCTTAGAGGTAGACGCGTACCTTTAGATGTAAAAAAAATTATCGTTAAGTTGCAATAATAGAAACAAAGAACAAAGCCAAGAACAAGAAAATAACGCATATAATCAGACCTAGGAGAAAACCTGGAGTTGGTGCCTCATCCCATATCCCAAAAATCAATATAAATACCCCTTTCCAAGTGATTGAAAATTAACGGCATTGCTGAAATAATTGCCCGTTGATAAATAAGGCAACCCACAATAAAAAATTGAATCCTGCAGGGAAATTACCGTTTCATTGGCTTGGTTTGCTAAAGATTTGCTGGCAAATCTGGGGAAATCGCCGTTGGATTACGATGGATTGCTGAAGCATCGCCTGAATTACGCGGATCACAGCAAGAGTAGAATAATTTGGGGAAAATCACGCCCATTTCAGGGAAGGCAAGATGCTGGGCAAGAGGAAGAAATTTCAAGCGAGTAACGCTTGAAATTACGGCGTAAGGGTAGTTTGTGATAGGAAAAGCTTCTTACAACCAAAGAACCAATGGGTACAAGTATTTTGGACGGAAAAACTACACTTTATTTTAAGGGTACCTAACCATTGTACACATTTATAAGATATAAAGATAAAGATATAAGATAAGATAAGATGTAAGATATATATATATATATATATAGTAAATTCCATAAAAGGTCCCCAGTTATAGGTCGTTTTACATATTTAGTCCCTACATATCAAATATTACTAATTTAGTCCCCAATTATTATATTCATTTCCACGAATGGTGCTTTGTTAACATTTTCGTTAAGAATGCGGATAAAATTATAAATTCGCACTCCTTTCTCTCCTCAATTAAGCTTCCTTCTTCCCTTGCACTGCTATCTCAAACCCGTCGCTGAGTTTCTAGCTTTGAACCAAAAACCAAAATTATCACTCTTCTCTCAATTGTTTATCTAACTGGATGAATGATCATTTAAATTTTGGATTTAAGAGCTTAAATTTAGTGACGAGTTTGGAAAAGAGTATGAGAAGATGGAGGAAGCTTAATTGAGGAGAGAGAAGTATAAATATACAATTTTGTCCACGTTCTTAACGGAATTATTAACAAATGACCATTCGTGGAAATGAATATAATAATTGGGGACTAAATTAGTAATATTTGATATGTAGAGACTAAATATGTAAAACGACCTATAATTGGGGACGTTTTATGGAATTTACTCATATATATATATATATATATATATATATATATATATATATATATATATATATATATATATATATATATATATATATATATAGGTTCTGGTGAGAATGCAATCTTAGGAGAGAAATGAGAATGAACCAGGTGCTTTAGATTGTGAGACCTAAGGGTCAAGATTTCATCAAAATTAGATGCACCAAAATGGTGCGAAAATGCATCACGTCGAAATGCACCATAAACCTTCGAAAATGCACTATCTCAAAATCTGAGCGCAGGATGCAATCTGAGCCGCACGATGCATCAGATCCGACGGCTAGATTTTATTCTCATTTCTCTCCATAAGGTGCATTCTCACGGGAACCGGTCCCTATATATATTGGTTCAGGTGAGAATGCAATCTAATGAAAGAAATAAGAATGAATCTGGTGCATTAGATTGGGAGATCTAAGGGTTAGGATTGCATCAAAATTAGGTGCACCAAGATGGTTTGAAAATGCATCATGTCGAAATGCACCATAATCCTTTGAAAATGCACTATCTCAAAATTTGAGTGCAGAATGCAATCTGAGCCGCACGATGCTATATATATATATATATATATATATATATAT